CCCCCCCCCCCCCCCCGAAGCTTTTAATATGCTTCGAGGAAAATAATTCTACGAGGGATTTGCGCGCGCTAAATCTTGTGTGCAATTATCGTAATCTGCGTTTATTTGACGCGAAACGTCGCATCATATCATATCAGCGCTCAGGTTTGTTTGTGCGTGTGTGGCGCGCGTATGGAGAATGTATTTATGTGGCACAGGTGCATGTGTGTGGTACGCGCGTATGCGTGGCACTTGCGTGCTCTAGCGTGTGTGTGCAAAACATGACCCGAGTACAGAAATGTCAAGAGAAAAAAGGTACATTATGTGTTTATTACGCTTCTGCCATCGTATGTTGCTTCTATGTATTCGTATGTAAACAATGTATTCGAATATAACCTGTAAATTACCGTATGTGTCTGTATGTACTCGTATGTTACTCGTATGTTATCGTGGGGTGTTTAGGTCACGATCATTTTAAAGTATATGGAGAGACTTTTGCTAAGCTTAGGTTTATAACACTCGAGTGAAATAAAATCGTCTTAAGTCTCCTAAAATCGCTTTAAGTCGCCTAAAGTCGCCTCAAGTCGTCTAAAATCGCCTTAAATCGCCTGAAGTCGCAATGTTTTTTTCTGCCAATTTTGCTTAAGTCGCTTAAAGTCACCTTAAATCGCCCAAAGTCGCCTTATATTAAGTTACAGCGACTTAAGGTCCCAGAGTAGGCCCCATTTTCCTTTACTACGCTCTATGATTGGCCTAAAAATAAACTTGCGTCACCTAAACTCAGACGCCAGACTAAAAGCAAAAGAACTCGCGACCACGTTTTCCAATGTTTGGCGTGTCTTTGGTTTGAGTTGCCATTAGTTCGTTTTACTCGCTTCACTGATAGAGCATCCTTGTTAAATAGACATATCCGTAATCTAGTCTGATTTTATTTAGCGTGCCAACTTGCGTCGGCACGCAAAAATACCTACCTCTAAATCCGCACTCGTCTCTACAAATGTTCCCTCGGACCGGTTATACCTATACCATTACCCACGAGACAATATAATTCAATTCAACTCAAGAGCAATCTCAAACGACGTTTTTTAGTTTGCTATCGTGAACTCAACGGGAGAGATTTAGAAAATGAATTGATCAAGTGGTTAAGAGCTAAAAGATTTTTAAAATACATTTGAAAAAGGGAACGATGTTTCGGCGCTGTGTTACGCCATTATCAAGTTAAAAAGTGAGCAAGTATAAGGTGTAATACGAATGACTATATAAAATATGAAAAAATACATAAAATATTTGCGGGTCCTATGGGTATAATTCCCAAGGTAAGAAACACAATAAGGAAACAAATGTACGAAGGTGTCACGTAAACTGTTTGGCGCGAATGGAGTCGATTTGCGTGTTAGAGAAGTCTTGATGTCCTTTATGTACAACATCTCGTAGACTAAGCAATCAAACTTGCTGTTACATGGTGTCCAGGAAAACAAGCCCACGATCGTCAACACTCAATACGTTGTATACTTATTTCAAGGTGATCTGTGTGATGCAAATTATGTCGGGTTCACTACCCGACACTTAAATCAACGTATAAGTGAGCACCGTTATTCAGCTATAGGGAACACCTTGAGACACAGCATGACAACAACAGAACAAGGACTGACCTGACCACCTTTTCAAAGTTCCGAGGAAATTAACTCAAACTAGAAAATGAAATGCAGTCAGTGAAAGATGAAAGCCTAACGCTGGAAAACTACAATCTAACCAATAAGAACGAATATGCTGGTTAATTGTTCAAATTTTGATCAACCAGAGGTAAGAATGATGGGCATCGTGACCTGGGTTCCGTGCGTTTTCCCGCACTTTTCCTTTTTTAGTGTGAGTTCTGATAGTTCACGCTTTACTGCGTTTGCTATGATTGGCCGTATCCTTTAATGGAAAATTAAAGCTAGACATTTCAGTGTAATGGTCAATTCGGGCTAAATCGTATGTTTTGAAACCTATTGCAAATCTGTTCATTCAGATTTAGAAGACTAATCTGGTCAGTTTGCAGTAAATATTTAAAGCTATTGTAAACGATACTCGATCAAATATGAAAGATAACTCCGTTCGTCATTGTAAACGACAAAAATATTTGGCTCTTCTTCTTTATCAACGCACGAATCGTACAGGTCACTTGCAGGATTATTTGGATCTTTCAGGGGGGGTCGANGAGGGGTTCGACGAAGGTCATGTTCCCCAAGCCTGCACTCTCGCGTTAGCACAAAAACGAGGAACATGAACCTCGTTTTCTCTCCACTTTGGCTGCTGTAGTTATTACTGTTCGAGGCCTTCACAGCAAAGTAGCTGCCTTCATCGTACACGCACTGTTCCGTTTTTCCCTCGCATCCTGTGATCAAAGTTCTGGTGTCTGGTGTCGTGCCATGGACAAGTAACTTTTCGATTTTGACATAGTTGGAAGCTTTTACTTTCTTTTTCATCTGTTCGCGCTTTCTAGATAAGGAATGAAGATAAGACAGGATTAACTGACTTGTAGCCAGACCAGCAGAGTGTTTGATGATTTATAGATCTTTATAAACTAGTGAGACTTAACGAAGCTACGTCACGGTCTGCGCATCTTCAAAAGTTTCGCGTAAATTTTTCAACTGTCGTCGTTTGCGATCCGTATTAATCTTCTTTATTCTTAACCATCCGTCTTCCTTTATGGTGTATTATTATCTCTTTGGTGATTTTCTCTCTTAGTAAACTACTATTCTCAGGTTTCCTTCAATTTAAAGATATTTTTGTACGTGGCCAACTGAAATAACTCAATATACCGTGACTGAGCTCCTTTGGCTTGAGACTCTCAACAGATCTTGGCGGGACTACATTATCTGTGGAAAAAAAATAAAAATTTTTAAAAGGTTAATTAACCGTCCTAGCGGGTTTGTGAAGCAGACTCATCCAGTCTTTGATCAGAGTAGAGACTCTACGATCTTTGCTCTGACAAAGGGCTAACACTCGAAACGTCAGCTTCACAAACTCGCGAGTGCGGTTATATTCACTTCCATGTGTTCCCACAGTGTTTTAAGAAACTGATAACTTTGCCAGGAAAGTTGCCCATGTCCTCACTAGACTCTGACGCGTAAACAATCAATCTATCATTTGTTTTATTTCTTAATGTAGACTTTACAGTGGGACTGGCCCGCGGATAGCCTTCGGTTACATGGAGAGTCCAAATTCACAGATACTATTTTGTTCATATATACTATTCATATTTGTTACCCACTGTCCCTTGATGACGAGTGGCCACGGTTGGCGCTACGTCGCCAAAGCACTAGCCCTGCCACTGTGATAATGACGCTACACAAAAAGCACAATCGCAGAAAACGTTTCCAGCCGTTCCTCGAAATGGTTGCCGGTCTCTCAGCTGGTATTATTTTTATTAGGAGTACACCATTTAGAGCGAGTAAGGCAGTTGCTACCAGCCAAGAAAAAGCGCAAACAACGATTGTTGTTAACCCCACAAAGATCCTTGAGGTCAATCGTAGAGTCATAATTACGATCCACTTCCTTCAAGACAGCCGCCATAGCCACAAAGATCGTGCTTGTTCGTCTGCCGATAACACATACGAGGTGAAAAAGATCGACTTCATTATCACTTGGTAATAAGGTCTGAAATGATAGAAACATTCGACTGCAACGGCACTCTTCAACAACGCGGCCGCAAATCAAGCGATCCAGTTTGCATGTCTTGAATAATCTTTCCCTCGTCAAATAGGTTGCGAAGAATGGAGCAATAAAATTGTAGTCTGCTTTCCAGTAATAGAAACCTCACATATTAGCACTTGCCAAATCGGTTTTGACGGTTCTACAAACTCTTTCGACACCGCTAAGGCGACATTTGGTCAAGACGCTCCAAACGGAGTGCCAGTAATTCTTCATCGTGTATCTTCACTTCAGAAGTGTAGCTGGAGTGCCGAGTAATCGCTTCAATTCCCTTGTAAACCAAGATCGCTTTGGTAGCGGAGGGCGTAATAACGCTTCGAACTGTAAACTGGTGCATCGGCTCGAAGAAAAATGGGAAGCCGTACGAGAGTTTCGAGAGCAAGGCTTTGCTTCAAATCACGCAAATGTCGATGTTTTAGTTTCACTTTCAATGTATATTTGAATTTGGTTTCATGATCACAGAAACTGTGACTGTCAATTACGTTGTACCGAAGCATCGCGCGTTAGGTCGAGGTTCACAAACAAGACTGTATCTTTGATTCTAAGGTCTTTCCAACGTGGAAGCGACAGTAGATGGGAAGTGAATATAAGGAAGCGAGAAATTTGAAGGGACAAGGAAGCGACAACCAGGAAGCAGGAAACAGCGTGCGTGTGAATTTATTGCTGAGAACCTTTCCTTAGGCGATGACGTCTTTTAAGGCCTTGATGATGCTGCTGAATTGAAACAATAATTTCTCTATCAGTTTCAAGCTTTATCACTTTTAAGTTCTTGATTTAATTTGAAATAACTATCTCAACTAGTCTGATCAGAAATAAATATTTTTATAGAACGAAATGATAAATAGAATGCAAATTCTAATAGCTTTAAAAAATTAAAAATTCCCAACCTGACAAAACGGTAATTAAATGCGGAATAGACTAAACAACCTTGCTGATAGACATAAATATTGATAGCAAGATTACCGAATACAATTCGTAGCTGTCTCAATATATGCTTGATTTTATCACTTTCATTGTTACGTATATTCGCCCGACTTTTGATGGAATCTGTCGACATAACTGGGGGAGTTCGAGGGGGATTTTTCATTTCAGTCGGAGTACTGAGCCGGGTGAAGTGATATTTTTAGCTACCTATGTCACGTGCATGAAAAAGTCATGCGGTACCATATGGAATAATTTCATCTATTTTTATCCCAAATCAAAACGATACGGGGGAAAAAAAAAAATACGATATATAAACTCAGACACGCGCCCAACAACAACAACAAAAACAAAACAAAACAAAACAAAACAAAAAGGGCCCCACCGTACTCCGGGTGGGAAATAATTTGTCGTTTTCTCGGAATCGTCGCCCTCGTTTCCACGAAAATGTTGTTGTGGCAAGATGGCGGATGATGTTTTGTTAGAGAAAGTTTTCAATTTTATTTGCGGCAGTGGCGGCTTTGCCGGGTTGTCTTTTCTTTTGAAGGATTCGTCACCTTTGAAAAATATCCCAACGGACCTAGAGAAGAAGAATTGGCTGAAAACTAAAGCTCGTGGCCACTTTGTTTTGGTGAAAGATGACAACAATGAAATCGCTGGTCTGCGAATTGATTTGAGAAAGAAAATTTGTCAACAATATCTTAGCAGAGGTTCATGTCCACGGACGCAAGGCAAGTGTAAATTCTGGCATATTTGTAAAAGTTTCATCGAGGGAAACTGCGACTGGAAATGCAGCCGTTCGCATGATTTTTTCGACCCAGACAACAAAGGGAAGACGAGCGAGCTGGG